ATTAAAGGTATTATACCTGGTTACGATCATCTAACACAAAAATCAGTATTAGCAGTTTTATATACATATGAAAATTATTTCGTTGATTTTGATTGGTTTGTCAAAGCAGATGATGATACATACTTGATTGTTGAAAATTTGAAAAAATTTTTAAATGAACAAAATACATCGGAACCTATTACATTTGGATACAATTATAAGGTAATTATTAATGATTTATTATCTATTGTATAATTTAATAGATTGAATCGTTTTGTTTTTTATCTCTACGATTTACATGAGCGTAAACATTTTTTTAACATATATGCATATACAAACGACTGTGACTAATCGAAGTCAGAAATGCAAAAGCTCAAACCGTTTTGATCGATTGTATACTAATGGAATAACACAATAAACTATTAGATCTTCCACAAACTGATCAAAGAAAAACTAGACAATATACAACATTTTATACAGATTCCCTCTTTCGAAGGGACGTACATCTGTTCTTGAGTACACAGTACATGGCAGAAGAATTACAAACAGCGGAAAACCCGCACTCTTGGCTCTCATGATGAATGAAGCACTGACAATATATCTTAGAATAGTCGACTGATAAGTCACTACATTACATAACAGTCAATGGTCTTAGATACAGTTTGACAGAGATAAAAAAAAGAAATCTCATCTTTTATCAAATCTGCTTTTTCTTCATGCTATTCTTTGAGGACATCAATGATATCAAAATAGACTTATCTCGATACGCAGAGGAAATATAGCATTGTTACTTGCTTGTAGTAGATGACTTCAAAAAGTTTCTTCTAATTGTTTTAGATCTGACTCTTTGTTCTTTTCTAATAGTTTTATTACATTATCATATTAAGTAGATTAGACTTTTGTCGTGAAATTTTTTCAAAGTTCAATTATTATGATTTCAATTTCATAAAAGAATCTATTCGTGGAAACTTTTTTTAATTTTTGTGTTTAGACTGTCGTTGAAAAAGGATACCAGTCAGGTGGAGCATCTTATGTATTAAGTCGAGAATCCTTACGAAGATTTTATGAAGCACAAAAGGATAGAATGCCAGATTGCCAACAAGATGGTGGTAGTGAAGACATTGAAATAGCTAAATGTCTTCGTACAAAGGGTGTTTATCCAGGTAAATCACTCGATAAACAAAATCGTGAATTATTCCATCCATTTACATTTGTTGACCATTTTCGGGGTTCTTTTCCTGATTGGCTTCAGCAATATGCTGAAAACCCATTACGAACTGTACGTCTATTAAAAGAATTTTTTCTCGTTTTTTTTACTTACCAATATATATATTTTCTTTTTAGCATTATGATTGTTGTGGTGATGAAAGTATATCATTTCATTATGTTAAACCTGAAGAACAATATTTTATGGATTTTCTACTATATAGAACTCATCCAAAATCAAATATAATTTAAGTACATAGTTCAATGACATAAGTAGAATAATTTAGTTATAAAAAAATTTGGTTGATTTTTATTGTTTCTTTTTCTGTAGTTGAAAATAAGTTTTATATGTCTTTCATATATTTATTTAAAGAGTATTAGTAATTTATGTTAACATGACAAACATTCATCTTGGAAAAATCAAACACAAATGACTTCTACTAACACTCGGATCTTAACGAGCTATGCTGACTAACTTCCACTTTAGATGAGTTATCAACAAATAATTCGCTCAAAAAAGAGTTTGAGATCAATCTACAGCACACTAACATCCAAAAAACATCTTCTAATAACAGATCAATAACATTTAACATACCGAATAACCTTAATAGAAGCTCATAATGTATCTTCCGATATGAATAAGGCATCTCCCTGAGTGACAGGTATCGATATCGAAATACCCAGGCACATTCAATGTGTTGTCATCGATTGCGTCAGTGAGTCTGCTTTCAGAACGTTATAAGTTTAGACTGCGTCGTCCTTCGACAAAGACTTCAATGTATATTTTACTGCTGCGGAGAGTTCAATGGTATTTTTTTCCAATAATGTACTCAACAAAGCATCTAAAAAAAAAAGTTTCATTTTCCCACATGTAAATGTCAGTATCCTATCTTTGCACAATACCCTTATTTCATAAAAGCAAGCTTTCATACGATTGAGCAGTATCTGTTGATATATTCAGTTAGATGTTTTTATGAAAGAATCTATGGACTACATAATCGTACATTTCACGACGCTTTTATCGCAAAAACATAACGAAACTAATATACTGCACAATAACAGTTCACTGCTTAGAACCATGTGGTCACCACAATACATTGGACTAAAATGTCATGAAACTTGACAAGTTATATGTTGTTTTATCGTAGAGCGTTGCTCTAGTAGGCTAATGTTACCACCAGCCTACGCGTTTTCCTCATCGTAACTTGTGTTAGATCAGATTTGATCATTTACCTCTTGATAAGTTGTAATAAGCGATTTTCGTTGGAGATATGTGGCGCACGATATCTGTGTTGTCTATAGACTTAATACCTTTTTTCTCGTTCTGTACGTCGAGTAATATGTAAGCACAACACCAATGTAAAGATTTCATTATAACAGGATAGTTATCGCTTTTCGGCTAAGGTCAAAATGTAGTATCTCTTCTCGTCAGTTTGAAGGTCGGTTCTGTTAGCGCCAGGCTCTTTCAAGCGAATTTTTGGACATCGGTCGGGATCATTCGAGTTCGGTCCACTCCCGTTTCCTTCGGAAAATAAGAATGCATTTATCAATAAATCATTACATGAAGCTGTCTTTCTTATATATCCTTACTACACGAAGCAGTAATCACTATATGTTATTCGTTTTGATTGTGTTGGAGATAACTTGGAACGAAATGAAGGGCAGAAAATAGGAAAAAGTGAAAACAAATATTATGGTCCAGTAGTTTTTCATTGGGTAAAACTCTTCAGCAGTGAATAGTGAATAAAAGAGATGGCAATACTCCTGGGGAGAAAACAAAAGGAAGTATAGATTAAACAGATAACAGTTGGAATGATTCTATGCTTGACTCAGACAAACAATACATATGCTTATAGATTTTCGGTCTGTCGCTGAGAAAAGTTTGTTCACTTGAAACTAAAGCTCATATGAATGACGAGCTGTAGTTTTTGTCTTGTAAATACAAAGAAGTGAACCACAATCAGTCAAAATAATTGATGTGCTGGTATTTTCCCTGTTTTTATAGCAACTACATAGATATCACAGGTCAATTACTTTCAATGAATCACTCCTATACGCTGACGAAAAGAAACCAATTAATAATAGTAAAACAAATCCACGGGATGAAGTGTCTTTCATCACAAGCATGAAATCTTTCGACAATAGTCTATGATATTATGTTAAATGGTAAACAATCGAACACAAATGCTTTCTTTTTCAATCGAAGCATAATATGAGACATTTAATTTGGCTGCATTTTTTCTGAAACACATTTGAGTTTTCAATCTTTGTTTCACTGGGGTTTTTGCTACACATATTTCATTTTTTCTCATGGATCTGTTATACTACAAGATATGATGCCACGCGTTTTGTTTTATTGTATACTCCTATTCAATCCAAAAATACATCTAGCAGTGAAAAATGAATACTCGAAAAGAGTTACACATTTTTTCTTATTCACAATATTCAGTATATGTTGAAAGAATTCAACATTTTATTCGAGTTCTTTTTAGCAGTTCTATCGACATAAAACAGTCCAATTGTTGCTCGTATCGCTTATAGCTTATTTTTAAGCCGAATCCCAACTAATAAGTGAAGTATCAAGATGAAAAAAAGCAACAAATACACACAGAGACATAAAAAATATTCGAACAATAAATATTTCAAAACTGTGAGCAATAGAATCGGCATGCACCATCCTCAAATAACTGTCTATAAGTTCTCAATAGTTATCTAGAACCTTTTGTGATAAAATATCTGTGGCGTGCGAAATAATTATGACATGAGACATATTTATTGTATCACTGCTCAGTTCCGTTTTTTTCCGAAGATCTATTCATGTTACAAAAGTAATTGTCAAGATTTCAGGATGCTTTTCGTATCGTTGTTCAAATGATACAAACTTTTGCAATACTTTTAGAATTTCTCCTTGGAGACAAACAACTTCATTTGATGAAGTAATTAAACTTTTCAGAGAAAATACAAAATCTAGCCACTTTTTAAAATAAACTTCTTATTTTTTCTCATTCTTCAAATTGAATCCACAATTAAATCAATCCGATTTTATGTTTTGTTGCCAGATATAAAATGTTTCAGAAATGAATGAAATATCTTCATCAAGATAAAATGAAATGAACAAAGTCGATTCTTTTTTCACTGTTCCAATTTCTTCTCCTCTTCTACCAAAAGAAAAATGCTGTAATATGTGAGGATTTTCTCTTAGAACAAGCGCAGCTCTTTCTAATAGACAGGTATCCCTAGTTTTGGCATCAAAATATCCAGTTTTTTTTCTATGAATTGTTTTCAATTTCCTGAGCACGTTTGCTGTTTAAGAATTTTTTTTGAAATTATGTACTTAATAAACTACACTGGGAAAAAGTTTTGCCGTTCAACCTATCAGTGTCAATATCCTATTTTTGCATAGTGCAGTTAATTAACCAAGAAAGCCTTTCATTCTATTGAGCAATACCTGATAATGATCTTTAATGAAAGAAACAACGGTTAGCATAACTTAATATTTCACTAAAGACTCATTCCGAAAAAGGGAACGAGACGACTAACATTCTCGATGGTAACAGTTCTTTGCATACAATCATGTGGTCAACAATGGATGGCACTATCACGAAGTCCGACAAGTAGTACTGCTTTTCTTCTTCTAGAATATTGCTCTGACAGGTTGATGTTGCTCTCAACCCGCACGTTTTCGTCATCGCAACATGTATTTGAACAGAGTTGGTCATTTACCTCTTGGTAAATTGTAATAAGCAATCTTTCTCGATAGTATGTAGAACACGCCATTTGTCTTGTTCTTACACGTTCCATTTTTACGATCTTCCGGTTGGTTACATTCATCAAGAATATACGCATCAATTAAATCAATTTTATGGATATCGCTTTCTAATCCTATTATCAATCTTATTAACTTCTTCACAGGGTCTCAAAAAACTTTGACAAACCTTGCCTTGCAGGACCTAATGAGGTTTAATGGTGAATGCTCTTTCGAATTTTCGTTATTTGTTGTGGTTTTGTTCTGCTCACTTCTACATGTTCTTTATTAAGATTTGTTAAAGTTCTTGTTCACCTGCTTCTTTTACATGAAAATGTAGAATCCTACGAGAAATCGCTCTTTCGTACTTTGTCAGTACCTTGACAGGAACACGCAGTTGTATTCTGAGAAGATTTTATCAAATTTCGATAGACATCTCATAGAAGTCTTCGTGTTAGAATACTGTCAGAGTTCAAATTGTTTATCAAACGAAGATCTTAGGATACAAAAAAGAACCGATGAATCATAATCATTAACCTAGAAACTGTACCAACTTTCGATCAGTATCTTTCTATGGATTTTTTCAGAATAAACTTTTTATGAATGCTAAGAAGGCAAGGCTAGCCAAGATTAGCATCTTAATGCGGTTGCATACACCCGTACCTACGATCCAAAGATTGGCAATTCAAGAAAATCTCAGCAATTCAAAGAATTCAACATATCCATATATCTTTGAATTGTATCCTCTAGAAGTGCCATGGAATTCAAGGAAATCAAGCAATTCTCGAAATTCCAGAAATTGAAGGAAACTGAAGGAAATTCACGAAATTAAACCATAGTAGATAGTAAGAGCCGGTGCGGGTATGGGTGCGCAGTGTGGATGTGAGTGTTAAAGTTATCTCTTCTCCCACATCCACACGCCACCCTCAGCCCACCCACACCCACATCCCACACTCACTCATCCACACCCACACCCACACCAACACCAAAATTTCCTGTTTCCTTGAATTTCTTGAGACTTTTAAGGGATGCAATTCATAGTTATATGATCCGTTGATTTTTGTGAATGCCTTGAATTCCATGCTACCTTCCAGGGATATAACTGAAAATTATATGGATGTATTGAGTTTCCTGAATTTCGTTGAATTCGTTGAATTTCTTGAGTTCCTTGATTTCTTTGATTTCTTTGATTTGCTTGAATTCCTTGAATTCCATGATACTTTCAAGGGATATATTTGAAAGTTATATGATGTGCTGGATTTTGCTTGCAGTCTCTTGAATTGCTTTATTTTCTGGAATTTGCCAGAATTCTATCGTAGTGAAGGCGGGTAATCTAATATCTTATATACGTGTGTTGGGCTGGTTCATTTTCTCGAATTTCCTTGAATTGCGAATTCGTGGATTCTAGGGGTATCTCAATTTTTCATAGTTAAGCGAGAACAAAATCGAAAAAAATAATAAGAAAAGTAAAAAATGTTCATTTGAACGAATTGACACTTTTAATTGA